GCCGGCCTTTTGACTCTGGGCCTGATGTCCTCTCTGTTGTGGACCAGGGTTCTGGGAGACCAAGTTCGACCCCCTCCTGACGGAACCAAGCCTGTTCCACCTGGACAAGGAGACTGCGGTCTCCGTGGAGATGATGAAGCGACACATCTTCCCCCTGAGCTGGTTCACAATGGAGTCCCCGGAGGTCAAGGTAGAGGGGTGGCAGGCGGGCGAGGGGGGGAAGGAGACCCCGGATGTCAACTGTCCCAACTTGGCCAGTTAGGAAAGAAAGACTCCTGGTCCCTGATTAGCCCAAAGTAGACTTTACTAAAGCCAAAGTGGTTACAGAAGAAGCAAAGCTGGATCTGAGATTTTTGCACGCAAAGATACGGTTAGCTTTCCCTTGTTCCAGGCCAACCCCTTGTTATCAGTCACTGGCCAATGAGGTGTTAACGAATCATTTGGGAAATGGTCCCCGTCTTTGCCACTGGGGCTGCACATTCTTTTGGTGTGACCTTGAGACGTGTGTCTGTGTGTCCGTGTGCTTCCCACGGGACCGTCTGCTTGGTTTCACTTCCTCCGAGCCAACTCCATGTCTGCCCATCCCCCACTGCTCCCTCCCCCCATTACTGATGACAGGCTGCCATCTTGCCATCCGTAGCTTAGCAGAAGGGCAGCCATGACACCGGGTGCTTTTGCATTCACTCGCCCCGCCAGGAGGCCTCAGGGAGGCTCCGGTGGCTTCTGTGAGAGGGGGCCACCCACAGGCTCCCGTGATTGTGCCAGCCTCGTGGCTCTTGCCCTTCCCAGACCCTCCTCTGCCCTTTCCTCCAGGTTGCCAAGTTCCCCTTTAAAGGCAACACCTCCTTCGTGGCCATCGTCCCCAGCCTCTACCAGCAGAAGAACCTCTCCCAGGTTCTGTCTGAGGTCCTCCAGCACAACCTGCAGGCGTCGTTCCCCGAGGAGATGCCCACGAGGGTGAAGATGCCGAAGCTGGACTTAGAGGACCACACGGAGCTCAATGAGGTCTTAACTCGGTTAGGTGAGAGACACAGACGGGGCGGAAGGCCTGCAATTCTCGCCCACCTGCCCAGCTTCTTCGTGCTATCTATGTTCACTTTCCATCCAGAGTCGTCTCCTCCTCCTCCTCCTCCTCCCCCTCCTCCTCCTCCTCCTCCTCCTCCTCCTCCTCCTCCTCCCTCTCCCTCCAAGCACCCTGTCCAGAAGAAGGAGATGAGCTGGTAGCTTCTGCAGGTAAAGCCCCATTTGGGTCCCCCAAGCACCTCCAGCCTGGAGAAGCTGCAAGACCTGGGGTGGATCCTCTCCCGACAGGCCGCCTGGCCCAGCCCAGCAGCAGAGCCTGAGGGGCAAGCAGCCCCCAACGATGGGCAAGGAGCTGCTCCCACTTCAGTTGTGGTCCCCTCTCTTCCCTCCAGGTCTCGGTGAGCTGTTTTCTGCCCCAGACCTCAGCCGCCTTGCCGAGGGGCCCCTCATGGTCTCCAGCGTCAAGCACCGGGCTGCCCTGGAGCTGGCCGAGGAAGGAGTGAAGGCGGCAGCAGCCACCAGCGTGGTCGCCTTCCGTTCTGCCTCACATTTCTACCTCGACAAGCCCTTCGCCTTCATGATCACAGAGGACATGACGAACATCCCCCTCTTCATGGGCACCATCTGGAATCCACGGCCGGGGGCTCCCCTGGAGAAGCATGTCCTGCCTGCTAATCGCACACGCTTCCGGATGCCCTGAAGGGCCTCAGAGCTGCCCCCCCAGTCCCAGGCAGTCTGGCCTTCCAGAAGACCCCTCCCAGTGGCTGCCCACCCAAGCGCATCACCCTCCCGACTGGCGTCTCAGGGCGGGAGGGTGATCCCAATCTTGAAAGGGAGACCGTGCCCCTTCCTTGCCCACTAGTGGGTCCTGGATGTGGATCCTGCACCTCAGCTTACTGGACACCTGGGCTCCCCTAGGCTCCCCATCCCCCCACTGGCCTGGCCTGCCCCCCCCACATTGATTTCCCTTGCCCCCCCCTTGGTAGTTTCCTTGGCAGCAGGCTGGAGGGATGCCTCCCCCTCCCCTTTAGTCAGACTGAACCCCTCTCTGTCCAAGAAGCCCCTCCCCAGTCCAAGCTGCACACAGGCCTAACCCCCTCCCTTGAAAGACCGCCCCCTGCCTCAAAAAGGATACAATGGCAATAATGGCACAACAACCCTGTGAGGTTGGAATGCAGACTAATTAACCGGCTGTCCTGAGAGGTCGTAACCCAATTCAAAATTCTCCTTCGTGCTTGTGGAAACATAGAGTGGATAAGATGCGCCATGGCACAGCTAAAGCCGAAACAAAGAGAGGATTCTTTTGAGCACTGAGAATTGGAAGGAAAATCATGCAAAATAAAACTGCAAATGTTGCGATGCCTTCGTCTCCTTCGCGTCCGGCAGCAGAGCTACGTAGCCTCCTCGGACAAGGGGGGGGCTCTCCCATCAGGAGAGGGGGGAGGGGATGGAGGTAGCCCTCAACTTAAACAATTGAGCCCCAAATTTCCACTGCTAAGTGAGACAGTTGTTAAGTGGGTTTTGCCCCCTTTTACGACCTTTCTTATCACAGTTGTTAAGTGAATCACTGCGGTTGTTAAGCTGCTCACGCAGTTGTTAAGTGCATCTGGCTTCCCCATTGACTCTTTTTGCCAGGAGGTCACAAAAGGGGATCGCAAGACCCTGGGACACTGTGACCGTCAGAAATACGAGTCGGTTGCCCAACGTCTGAATTCTGATCCCGTGACCAGGGAGATGCTGCAACCGTTGTGTGCAGAACGCTCATTAGTCACTGTTCTCAGCGCCATTGCAACCTTGAACAGTCACTAAACAAACGGTTGTAAATCAAGGACTACCTGGAGCCAGCAGAAAGGGGCGATGGAGAGAGGATCCGGTCTCCACGGGGCACGAAGGCCAGAACCCCCAAGTGACAGTGAACAGAGTCGGACCGGGGTCTGCAGGTCTATAGAAGCTCATCTTGGAGCATCTGGGGTGTGTGTGTGTGACCGTGGCTGAGAAGGAGGTTGAGAGAAACTCAGGAGCCGGAGGGGGAGGGGAGGGGAGGGAGGGAGCCCCTCCATCCCCTTTTTTTGGGAGTCGTGCTGGTAGGAACCTCCAGGTGCAAAGATGTCTCCTTTCTGAGGCGAGTCTGGCTCTTTCGTTCTCCCTGGACGGGATCCAGCATCCAGACCAGGGTCAGCAACTTTGGCAACTTTAAGCCTTGCGGACCCCAGAATCCCCCAGCCAGCTGTGCTCTAGAACAAGGTGCTGAGAGTGATAGTCCTTTGGCCCAGTCCAGAACTCTTATTTTCCACCGTGGGGAAGACAGCCGTGTACAACACCCACCCGGCCCCCCTCCTTCTTGGGGACAATAGCAACGTGGAGCTCCGGACAGGGCTGGGGGCTCTGGTCGTTAAGTGAACCCAGCTTCTCTCCCATTGACTTTGCTTGTCGGAAGGTGGCAAAAGGGGATCACGTGACCCCAGGACGCTGCGACCGTCGTAAATATGAATGAGTTGTCAAGCATCCAAATATAAATCATGTGAACGTGGGAAAGCTGCAACGGTCGTGAGTGTGAAAAACAGCCATGCCACTTTTTTCAATCCCATTGTAAGTTTAAATGGTCATGAAATGAACTGTTGTAAGTCGGGGACTGCCTGTAATTCTGCTCGTCCCTTGCGAGAGGCAGCGTCTCTGCCCCTGATCTCCCTTCAGGGCTGCCCTTCTCCAAGAGGCCGTCCTGGAGGCCCTTTCCCATGGGGAAATAGATGCATCTGCTGCCCCCCCCCATCCTGAGCCCCCCCTGGAGGACCAACGGGCTCCCCCTGGTGGACGGGGACAAACATGCTGGGGTCCAGCTCTGTCGTTCTCTCCAGAGGCAACCAGGCGCCCCCAGGAAGATCTTATGACAGGGACCCCCGAGGCCGCCTCATCCCGCAGCAGGAGATGAAGAATCAAGGCGGACTCTGCTCTTGGGGGCCCCTAAGCGACCCGCCTTCGCCTCACCCCGCCTGAGGGGGCACCTCTTGCACCCACGCCCAGGATTAGTGATCTGACTTTGGCCTACGCTGGACTGGGTCTCCCAGGGAGAAAGTCTGTCCGGGGCTGCTCCTGGGGACCCCAGCTCTGAAGGGAGAAACTGCAGCGAAATTCCTCCCTCCCTTCTCGAGGGAGGGCTCCAGGCTGCGGTCCAACAGGGGACGCTTGGCTATTTTTAGCGCAGGCCGTTTTTTTCCCTTCCTTTGTCAGTTCGGGTGGTGATTACTTCAGTAACCAGGTTTACCGTTTCTGTAAACCCAACCCTGACTGAAAGGGCCCAAGGCCTCTTCACGCCTCCAACTTTCTTAACCTGGCCACTTTCCCACTGAAAATATTTGGACAGCGTAGCAGCGCCAGGGAAGAGCGTTGCGCACCCACCCAGCCCCGGACTCTGACCAGCCCTCCTCGCTGGGCTGCGGCAGGCGGAGGGCCGGCTCGGAAAGAGGAGGCGGCTGCTTTAAGAGGAACCCCGCAAAGCTGTAACTTGAAGCCCGTCGCCCTCCCTGTGCCTGTTATAAACACCAGGCTCCCCTGCCCTGCGCCTACACCGCCCTGCGGCCGGCTGGAGAACGAGCGAGCGAGCGAGCGAGCGGTCCAGGTAAGGAGCGATTCTGCCTCCCTCGGGCGGGAGTCCACGCGTGTGCATGCAAGTGGGAGAGGCAGAGAGCTTGCACTAAGGAAACCGGTGTGTGTGTGTGTGTGTGTGTATGTGCGCGCACGCTGCCTTGGAGCCATCACAGTCTCTGGCCCTCAAAGCCAGGCTGGTGGGCAACCAGCCCATCTCTGCCACGTGCCCAGGCAAACCCCCTTCTGCTCAGCTGGCACACTGGGCCAGGGGCGGGCGCCTCCACTCTGCACCAAGCAGCCCATCTTGGGGAAGAGACTGGCTCTCTAACCTCTCTGCCCCCCCTGGCCATTTTCACCCTCGCTGAGCTCTTCAGGGTCCCCCGTTTTTTTTTATCAGAACAAAAGAGTTAGAAGGGACCTCGGAGGTCTTCTAGTCCAACCCCCTGCTCAGGCAGGAGAGTCTATTCCATTTCAGATTAAGTGGCTGTCCAATCTCACCCACAACCTCTGGAGGGAAGTCACCCCACTGATTAAATTGTTCTGTGGGGAAATTCCTCCTTAGTGCCAGGTTGCTTCTCTCCTCGATTCGTTTCCATCCGTTGCTTCTTGTCCTGCCCTCCGCTGCTCTGGAGAATAGGGTGTCCCTCTCGCCTTTGTGGCAGACCTTCAAATATTTTTTGGGACCCCCAAATTCCCCCCCCCCAGCCGAGGCTTTCTCCCCGAGAGAGGCAGTGTGGAGGAAGAGCCGAGGCTCGCTCACTCGCTGTCCTTGGGCTGCCTCCTGGCGTCCAGATCTGGGCTAATTGAACCCAGATGTTGAGGCTCACTCAAACCCAGCGGGACTCCAAGGAAAAATCTGGAAACTCTGGCCTGGTGATGGCAACCAGGACCAGACCAGGATTCCAAGCCTGCCTTGCCTGCCCCGAGCGAAGCCTGTACGGAGCAGCCCGGTCTGCCACGAGGGTGTATTCTGGGCCTGGGCTCTATTCCGCAGGATTTCGAGTCAGCTTCTCCTGTTGTTGGCAGCACCCGAGTTCCTTGGAAGCGTGTGCGGATCGGCCGCCCCAGGACGCTCCCCTGTAATTGCAGGCTTCTGGAGAGCTAACTGCTACTTCCACGCAACTCTGGTGGCGCCAGCTTGGAGGGCCAGGCCCTGGCTGAGGTTAGGCTTGGTCCCAATTCACCCTCTGCAAAAGGCAGCCAGATGTTAGCCAGAAATCAGCCCACCAGCCGGCCCCCTCCAGTCCAGAAAAGCCTCCGACAGGAAACGGGTGGGGGGGCGTTCTTGAGTGTGCCTCCCCCAACACTGCCTGGCCTGGGAAGCAGCCTGGAAGATGGAGACAAGCTAGGCCCGCTTGCCTACAGCTGCAGGAGAAGGGAGGCAGGGCTTCGAGGGAGGGCTCCCACCTTCCAAGGCAATTCTTACTCAGAACTCCAGTCTAGCCCCCCCCCACCTCCCCAATTAACAAATGTAAATTGCTCCTCTAAGAAAAGCACTCTGCAAACTCTGTTTCCACGCATGGCTGCTGTGTGCAAGAAGTAGCATGTCACGTCCAGAGAGTTCGGTATGGAGAAACGGCCCAGCCAGGCCGCCCATCCCCAGGGGTCAGGAGGCCGGTTAGTGGCAGGCAAGGCAGAGGATTTTAAGAGGAACTGTTTGGAACGAAACTAAAGGCATCTGCTGTGTTCAGACCCGAAGGTGGGCAGAGATGTGGCAATTCATCTCCCGGCTTCCAGAAAAGCTGGCGAGACTAAAAATTGAATTCTGAAATGGCCCCCTTGATTTATTTTGCTATTTGATGCTTACAGGGAGGGAAGCACTCGAGGCAGCCTACAGGAACAGCATAAAGGCAATTAACAAACATAAAAGCACAAATAAGATTAAACAGCGCTATAAAATGTTTGAATTGACCTGCTGAATCACTGAAACAAAACTGAATATCGTTCCATTAGAAACGAATAAATTTAAATATTTATTGAAAACTTAACGGCATTAAAACGAAACAGGTAAACCGGAGGAGAGGGTCCTTGAGGCCCACTTGAAAAACACCCTTCAAAGATGAAGCTTCTCTCCCTCTCTCTCTGGGACTTCCTAAGTACCGGGAGCCTCCCTTAGGCACAGTCGCTCTGTGAGTGAGAGGGCCATTTTCCAGATTTGACAAATGAAAAGAAACACTCCATAGAAAAGTACTGTGGGCATGATACTTCCACCATGCCCGTTTCTGGTTGGCCTAGGTTTTATTCCCCTTGAAGACACTTCGCTTCTCATCCAAGAAGCGGAGGAAGAACCGAAGATGCTTCCTGGGTGAGAAGGAAAAGGTTTTCAAGGGGAATAAAGCCCAAGAAAGTCCGGTGGCCTTTGGGGGGGGGGGGAAGCGCCTTTGGGACAAGGTGCTGAGATTCTCCACAGACAGGGGCAGACCTCAGCCGTTGCACTCCTCTGTTCATTTACTTAGAGAATCTCCTGGCCATCCATCTTACCTCAGGATAACTCTCTGTCCTTCCTTCTCCTCCTCCCCTCCGCAGGTTCCACCATGAAGCACCTGATTGTCCTCCTGGGGCTGGCGGCCCTGGCCGTCCCCTGCCGGAGCCAAGGCGGGAGCCCAGCAAACGCCCCCCAGGTCAGCCAGGGGTCTCCCAGAGGGCCGAGTGTGGCTCTGGGCTCAGGCTGGGAGTGGCGAGGAAGCAGAGGCTGCGGACAGGCCTTGGGGGATTCCCCCTTGCCATTCCACCCAGGGGGTGGGCTACCTTGCAGCCCGTGCAGGGGGTCCTCGCTCCACAGGGTGGTGGGCTGCAGCAGAAAGACCCCCCAGGGCTGTGGTGATGGGCCCCCTCTTTGGTGTTTCGAAGGAGCCGGACCCCGCAAGGGAAGCCGGGGAGGAGGAGGAGGACCCCTTTTACAAGAGCCCCGTCAACAAACTGGCCGCTGCCGTTTCCAACTTTGGCTACGCCCTCTTCCGCCAGCAGTCCAGCCAGACCCCCTCGGCCAATGTTCTGCTCTCCCCCTTCAGTGTCGCCACGGCCCTCTCGGGCCTCTCGCTGGGTGAGCTCCCCTCCGATCCCCCCCACCGGGCAAGGATCGTCCCGGGAAGGGACCTTGACAGGCTCCCTCTCTCTCCCGTGGCCGACAGGGGCGGGCGAGCGGACGGAGGATGTGATCTCGCGGGCGCTTTTCTACGACATGCTCGAGAAGGCCCAGCTGCACAGCACCTACAAGGAGCTCCTGAGCAGCATCGGCAGCCCCACCAAGGGCCTGAAGAGCGCCTCCCGCCTGGTGATGGAGAGAAGTAGGCCTCCTTCGCCTTGGGGGGGGAGAGGAGCCAGGGGGGGCTGTCAGCCCCGGGCGAGGGACAGGCCCCCCCAAGGGCTCAACGGGGTGTTCTCCCCCCCCCCAGAGCTGAGGATGAGAATCGCATTTGTGAACGAGCTGGAGAAATCCTACGGCTTCCGGCCCCGGGTGCTCAGTGGAAACGCCCGGGCGGACCTGCAGGAGATCAACCAGTGGGTGCAGCAGCGGACGGGGGGGAAAGTCGTCCGATTCCTGGGGGAGATCCCGGCCGGGCTCAGCATCCTGCTTCTGGGGGCTGCCTCTTTCAAAGGTAGGTCTGCCCGCCCACCTGCCCGGGGAAGCTGGGCTCCTCCTCCGAAGGGAGGGCGTCCTCCACTCGGCCTTTCCTTCCCCTCCGGCCACAGGGCAGTGGGCCACCAAGTTTGACCCCAAGCTGACCAAGCCTCAGGACTTCCATCTGGACGAAGACCGGACCACCCAGGTGCCCATGATGTCGGCCCCCAGAGCCATCTTGAAGTACGGCTTTGACTCCGAGCTCAGCTGCAAGGTCAGTGGCCAGGAGGGGGGTGGGCCAAGACTGGGGAAACACGGCTGCCCTGCGGCTCCACTGCCCTCTTTCTCCCCCCCCCCCAGCAGCCCTGGGAGAACATGTTGCTCCTCTTGGCTGCCTTTCCAGAAGCCGTCCCCTACCTTACCGCCCCGTTTGGGGCAGCCACACGCCCCGATGGCACCTGAGCTGGACCACTCGTGCAGTGCAGCCCCTCCCTCACCAGGGGTCCTGCCCGTGCATAGGCCAGCCCACCTGCTGCTGGGGGAGGCGTGCGGGTGGGGGCAGCAGCTCCCTTCCCCCAACCAAGAGCGGCTCCCCCGCACCCCCCCGGGAATGCCGAGCCGGCCCCTCGGCCCACTCCGCCTACCCCGGCTGTTGCTGCAGATCGCCCAGCTGCCCCTGGCTGGAGGGGTCAGCCTCATGTTCTTCCTGCCGGAGAGCGTCACCCAGAACCTGACCCTCATCGAGGACAGCCTGACCGCCGAGTTTGTCCACGACATCGACAAGCAGCTGAAGACCGTCCAGGCCGCGCTGAGGCTGCCGCGGCTGAGGCTGGTGGCCGAGACGAGGCTGGGGGAGGCGCTGCAGGCAATGCGTAGGTGCCGGGACGGGGTCCTCAGGCCAAGCGGGCCGGTGCTCCTGTTGCCGAGGCTTGCTCTGGGGGGCTGGCCAGGGGCTGGCCCTTCCACAGGGCCAGGGGGGGTCCCAAACGGCTGCTCGCCCGAACAGGAGCCACTGCAATGGGTGAGAGCCATTTGTCCCGGGGAGGGGGCTGAGCAGAGGCTCCCTCGAGGTGGTGAGCGGTTGGTGAGCGGCTAGAAGGTCACTTGGCCTGGGGGGGGAGGCGGCAGCTGGGTGATAACGGCCCTTCCTCCCTCCCTCGCAGGGCTCCAGGCGCTCTTCTCTACACCGAACCTCGGCAAGATTTCCGCCAAGCCCATCAGGCTCTCCCACGCGCATCACAAGGTGGCCTTCGACCTCGGGGAAGACGGGGCCAGCCCCGTGTTTGGCTCCGAGACGGAAGTTGCTCGGCTGAACTTCCCCATCGACTACACGCTGGACAGGCCCTTCCTGTTTGTGCTTTACGACAACGACAGCGGCACCCTCCTCTTCGTCGGAAAGATCCTCAACCCTCAGCAGGCCTAAAGCGCCCCCCGAGACCCCCAAGCCCCAGGAGCAAAAGGGGGGGCTCCTTGACTGTGTCCCGCAGCTGGTTTTGCTTACATGGTCCAATAAAAGAGCTTCTGCCTTAAAGAGCCTCCAGAGTGGCTTTTTCAGCTTCAAAGGCCGGTGGATGGTGGAGAAACGGCGGGGGGGGGGGGGGG